GGGACCGGAGCTCCCAGACCTGCCGGGGCTGGCAGATGCCTTGCCACCGACGCGGTGTAAGCTCCGTAGCACCGAAGCCTGGAGGCAGAACTGCCCCGGCGGTGGTGGGCAGCGTGGCACTGCTCCTGGCCCAGCCTGCTCATACAGCCAGCGCCAGTGGCTGGGGCGGCAGGGTCTTTTATGGCGGGTCGGCCACCGCGTGCCCTTGTCTGCCCTGACTTTGCTCACTGAAGGCCTCTGGCCAGGCATATGTGGCTCGCAAGCTGCAAACACATGCTGTGGCTGTGACCTCCCTCCGCCCACGTGCTGCCCCAGCTGGGCAACGCGCTCACCAGGGCACACCCTCTGCAAAGCATCGGGGACCAGCTAGGCCACGCCGTCCCCACGCATCCCACCCGATGGCTGAGCAATGCTGCGCACCTACTGCTCCCACAGGGACGTTCCTGTCCCCAGACTACAGGGCAGGTAGACTTAAGCGTCACCTCAATTTGCACATCCCCGTGGAGATATTTTTCTTCTGAATGCTGCTTCCAGCACAAGGCAGGTTAGTTTGGGGCTCCACAGCTGTTCCTGGTGGGGGCCTGGAGCTGACGGAGCTGGGATGGGGCCAGCAGCCGCACAAGGGACACTCGTGCCCACGGCTGGCAGTCCATGCAGGTCCCTCCTTCCCTCCAATACCTCAGCAGGGATCACTCACCCCGTGCAGGCTAGCTGGATACTCCGGAGGGGTCAGCTGGGAGAGCCAGGAGGGAAAATCCTGGGGGCTCTGAAACAGATCCAGAGGGTCACACACAGGTGTCTCCGATCCCACCTCCATCTCTCACACCATGCAGCGTGCTGTGGCTTGGAGCCCACCCATATTTACATTGCTATGGATATAAGTGCCACTTTACCACCATTAAAGGGAATTTTGTGTTTTGGGTGGTTGTTTACAACCCATGATTTGTTGCAGCAACCTCCAGCTCCATCCCGCTCCTCAGACAAACATCCACCTCTGAAATGGGCAGGGCTGGGGCTGGCCAGAGCAGTACCTTCCCCAGACCCCAGCACACAAGGGGACCCCAAGCGCCCCAGTGAAGGCCAAGGACTTGGACCCACACCCCTGTGTCCTCTGGAGGGAGCCTGAAGCCCCCGGAGCTGCGAGGAGCAATGCCAAGTGCAGGGCTGGGGACGGTGGCCTGTCCTGGACCCCCTGCCCACGCCTGGCAGGGAAGGCAGCACCAGCACCCGCTCACCTTCTGTCCGGGGGGGAAAATCTGCAGCTCCTCGATGGTGAAGTGGAGCCAGACTGGGGAGGGCTGCCGGAGGATGAACCGCATCGCCGTCACCTGGTCCATGTCACACAGCATCTGCCAGGGCAAGGATGGGGTGGGGAGCAAGCTGTCACCACAGGGGCTGGCCAGGCTGGCGCTGGCGCTGCTCCAGGGAAACTTTTGGGATTTCCTCCAAAAAAACACCAACCCACCCCAGATGGAAGGAGCCCAAGGGAAATGTCACCTCGTGGTGGCTCTCTGGGCTCAGGGAGCATGGGCAGGACCAGCATGGGGACCCTCACTGCTGAGCAGGGCTTGCAGGGGCAGGAGAGGCACTGTGGGGTGCAGCCTACCCCCTGGTGCCTTGGGGGCTTGGTGGGGCGTCAGCACAGGGCCCCAGGGACCAACCCACCCCAGATGGAAGGAGCCCAAGGGAAATGTCACCTCGTGGTGGCTCTCTGGGCTCAGGGAGCATGGGCAGGACCAGCATGGGGACCCTCACTGCTGAGCAGGGCTTGCAGGGGCAGGAGAGGCACTGTGGGGTGCAGCCTACCCCCTGGTGCCTTGGGGGCTTGGTGGGGCGTCAGCACAGGGCCCCAGGGACCAGGAGCC